GGAGAATTTTGGTTTAACCGCTGTGTAACGAGTCCTTTGACCGGAAGCCAAAAATCTCCAAATGATGGACAAAACCCACTGTTTCGAGTTTTGCACGAGGTAAAATATTTCAGCTTACTGCATTTTTCAAATCAACCGCCCCAGTCAGATGTGTTTGCTGACCCCTAGGTGTTTTTTGTTGTTGTTGTTGTTGTTGTTGTTGTTTCTTTACATATCTCAATTTTTATTAAGCTACAAATAGATGGGTGAAGAGAAGGTCAGTTTAAACACATGAATTACTTTATTTTTAAGTCCTAGCTTTTATCCTCATAGCTTCACACAACTAAGAAACACATGAGGCCTTGTGTAACTTGTGTTGGTAGATTAAACGCCACACCTCTTACAGACACACTACATAAACAGGTATTTTGAAAGACGTAAAACCCGCTGCCGATTGAAGTACGTTCGTACTATTGGCCTCTTCAAGATCATAAGATGAAGATCATGGTAATCGGTCCACTAAAGAAAACGTTCACAGATTACATTTAATTAAGCCTTCCGTTTGAAGTGGCCAGCAGTTTAATGTTAAATTCAAGATGGCCGTCAATTCGTGGACTGTATCGAACGGTGACAATCATAAAGCTGGCAAGATCAAAATACATTAAGATGTGTACAACTAAACGATTTAGCATCTTTATAAAGTATTTTATCTGACCAATACATGACCCTCAGGGGTACTCCATTTAGGTACTCCATAGGGTACTCCATAGGGTACTCCATAGGGTACTCCATAGGGTACTCCATAGGGTACTCTATAGGGTACTCCATAGGGTACTCCATAGGGTACTCCATGAAGTAGGGCTCCGCGTTTTGTCATCTCCCACATTGGGAGGGGGAGGGGAGCGAAAGAACTTCACAGACATTGCTTTAGAGAACTGTCCCAACCAATTATGTAGATCTGCAGCTGAATCATTCACCAATTTGCGAGGTGAATTGGAACAATTTTGAGGAAAGTATGTAATGAGTGTTACACATATGTAAGAGACAAATGAAAGTACAGTAGAACCTCGATTTGACGAACCTCGGTATAACGAAGTCCTCGGTATAAAGAACGATAATTACGTTTCAGCCCGGCCA